TAACAATCACAGTCATATTAGAACTCTTGAAATTTTCTGGAAAACAGAATAGCAACCCTACAGAAAGTGGCAAAAGATATGAACACACAATCCATACTTTATTATATGGTTTGATGGTGAGACTGGGAATAAGGACTCACCCACACTGCTGGCAGAAGTGGAAACTGACCAATCAATTATGAAAGAGAACTGACAACATTTAATTAAACCATGTGTTCACCTTCTCACTTAAAAATCTCGTGTTCCAGAATTGGAGAGACAGCTGGGTTATCCCCAGCCAGGCCTGAACCCCAAGCATCACCACTGGGCACTGGGTCAGGAATAGCTCCTGAGCACCACTGGGTGCAGCCACAAAACAAAACAAAAACAAATCTCATTTCTAAGAACTTACTCTGAAGGGGGCCAGAGGGACAGCAAAGGTGTCTCAGCTCCTGCTTTTGCACATTCTATCACCAGCACCAAATACGGTCCCTGAGCACCACCAGGAATGATCCCTGAGTAGAGCCAGGAGTAAGCCCTGAGTCACTGGGTGTGATCCCTCAAACAAGCAAACAAATTTACCCTGAAGATATATTTCCAGTATTTAGTAACTAAAATTATTAATTGTAGTACTATTGCAGAATACTAGAAACAACCTAAGTAACGGGTGAATAAACTATCAGATATATCAGTGAAGCAACTATGAAAAAGGAATGAAAAAAAACAATGACACAGTATGTGTGATTCCCAGGATATATATTAGGTGAAAAAAAAAAATCAAAGTGCCCAGGCTGTAGAGACATTACAGCAGATAAGGCATTTGACTTGCATACGGCTGACAATGGTTTAATCTCCAGCACCACATACAGTCCCCCAAGCATCACAGGAATGATCCCCGAGCACAGAGCCAGGAGTAAGCCCAGGGCAGGCAGGTGTGGCCACAAAACCAAGAAAAAAAAGAGTACAGAAGAGTAATTTAGAGAAGTGGGGTTTCTTTTTTTGGTTGTTCTGTTTATTTTTTTTGTTCTGGGGATTAGTGTTATATTAATGTTTCATATACTTAATTCATATATACGTTAATGTTTGATATACTTAATAAATTCATACATAATAAAGACCAGGAAGAAAATACTAAAATGTAATATAATATGATACAAATAAGCATGACTGCTTGAGTCTGACCTGGGTTCAATTCCAGGTACCCTGTATGGTTACCTGAGCCCACCACGAGTGATTCCTGAGTGCAGAGCCAAGAATAAGTCCTAAGAATCACTGGGTGTGGCCCAAATACCCCCAAACAAATTGAAAAAATATATGGAGGCCAGAGAGATAGTACATGCTTGTCGAGCATGTGGTTAACTCAGGTTTGATCCCCAGCATCCCATATGGTCCTCCGAACACCACCAGGAGTGATTCCTCAGTGCAGAGCGAAGAGGAACCCCTGAACATTACTAGCTGTGGACCCCCAAAAAACAAACATGCATTACAAAAATCCACAAAAAAACAAAACAAATAAGTATAATTATATCTCAAATAAATTAACCAATTAAAAAGGGATGGTGGAAGAACTAAGGAACTAACTTTTTGGACACAGGATATAGGCCAAAAAATTGTACTAACATCCAGTTGGTAGGATTTTGTTTGCTGCTTCTCTTTTTGTAGTGGTATGAATTGGGGAATCCAAACTACTTTCTGTGCTTTCTTGGATTAAAGAAATAAATCTAATACAGAACATGGGAACCAGGTTTCTCAGGATTGAAGAGTTACAGAAATGAAGGATGTTAGAATAAATTCCATATGTTGTATTGAAAATGAGAAATATGAAGTTGGTTTTTAAATAAACATTATTTTTACAATTATGTAAAATCTTAATATATTTTTGTATTTTAAAAGTTCCTTACAGCCCCGGCAGCCGAAAACCCCCAGAATTCAACTGCCACCATGATCACGGCTTCTCTCCACATGCTCGGGCTGAGCCTCACCCATAAGTGAACCTATTATTCCTAGACATTTCATAGGACACACCCTACCCATGCTCCAAGAGTACCACTCCACATTTGATGGGATCCAAAGTAGGAGGCAACCAATCTTTGAGGGAAATACTGTATTATTTCAGTTCTGTTTTGAGGCAGGGATTGGGGTTCAGGATGGAAACACCCGAAATATGGTGGTGGGAAGGTGTAATGGTGCTGGGATTGGTGTTTGAATATTAAATGCAATCAAATATTGTGAACTACTTTTTAAAATAAAAAAATTTTAAAAATAGTGCCTTACAGGTAATTTCTGTAACTTGGCATTTGGAATTCATCTTTAGGGTTTCTGAAAGCGTCCCTGCCCTGTTACTGGTTGATTGTTTTGATGGTTGTTTTGGAGCCACACTTGGCAGTGCTCAGGAGTCATTACCACAGGTGTGCGGGGGACCTCATGGTGCCAGGGCTGGAACAGGCCTTCTGCACACGAAGCACACATTCACTCGGTGAACTATACCTCTAGCCTCTGCTACGGAGTTTTGATATTCTATGAAAGAATAGGTAAGAACTGGTCCATAAAACCTCAAGTACCATTAAATTACTGCTCTTTTAATGATAAAAAATATACTTAGAATTTGTTTCTGTTTGAGGGCTACGATCCGCAGTACTCCAGTACTAAACCTAGTTTAAGTGCCTGAGTAATCATGTGGTACAGGGAATTTAACAAGGGTTTCCTGCATGCAAAGGATGTGCTAACCTCTATGAAACTCTCTCTCTCTAGCCCTTGAATTTTTATGTAACTGAAGAATCTCTTGGTTTTTCTGAAATAATGTAAAGAAACTGATGGGACAGAATTGAAGCTTTTTTTAAAAAGAATTATATGTGTGGCCTGGATGTTTTGCTGGCTAAGTTCTATTAAAGAGCAAACAGAGACTTTGGGATAAACACTCTATGTAAGTTACTAGATTAAGGCCCAATAACACTTATGAGTTAGTTTCTTCTCTTTGAAATTGGAGAATATACCACACCTGTTAATGTGTGAATTAGATCTTATATGGGAGTTTACCATAAACCTGAATCATAACAAGGATTCCAGAAATGAAAGCCAAACCAAACCCAACAAAAGACAGAACTAGATTGACTTTTCATTTCTTCCAGATTGATCACAAGCTTCAGGTGTTGTCAAATGTTGGTGCTATATCAGGGTTTGTCAACATGGCATTATTAATACTTTTTGAAAGTAACACTGCATATATGCTTCAAGCTCAAGGAGCTGGAGCACATGCTTTGTAGGCAGGAGACCTGAGTTTGTTTTGATTCCTGGTACTACATGGTCCCCTGAGCACTACCAGGGATGACCCTCACCAACAAACCAGGAATAGTCCTTGAAAACTAATGGTTGTAGTCCAAAACCCAAGACATCACAACAAATATACTTCAGGTGTGCACTAGTGAAAATCAACATGTGTGTACATAAATTACACTGAAAGTTTTGACTGGACTATTCAATGTTTAATGACAGCCTCAGATTTAACCTACTAGATTTCAGTAGCATCATTCTAATTGTGAAAAGCAAAAATTTCTTCACACATTGCTAAATGTCCCCCGGGGCACAAACCTGCCTTTACTGGAGGAGCACTAATCTACAGTGATGATTAAAATGCAGAAACAACGTTTAATAAGCAAACCAAAACAAATGATCTCATTTCCCCCAGACTGCTGAAAGTCAGAGATGGGAAAAATACTTATTTCATATGAAGAATCTGTTTTCTTTAGGAAACAAGTTTTTTTTTTTTCAGTACAGTTTGATTGTCTCCATTTAGGTGTAAGTTGGACAAGTTAATCTACGTATGCCACTGTTCCTCATATGACTATTATGTGATCCAATCCAATGCATTACTTAAGTAGTGCTTTTTAACACAGTCACTGGTACAAAGTAAATACTCATTTACCAACTTCTTATATTGGCCATCCTGATTAAAATGAGCTTGCTTCTAATTCTAGGTTTTCAGGTCCCATTGAGTTTTTAGGTTCCGTTAGCTCAAATTCACACTATACATCTACTTCAAATGCTATTCCTTCTTTACCTTCAAGGAAGTCAATTACAGCGATCTAAGAAAAGTGTCTTATGAATAGGCTGAATGAAAGTAACACGAGAACACAAGTGGAGGATCAGTACATGTGCAGTACAAGGAGACAATGGCATGCACCAAAACCTTAACTGTCAGTCAAAAAACAATGGGGCAGAAGTGGGAGGGAAGTAATGTTGACCTGGAGGTGACATAGGGACAGATGGAGGGTCATTGGCACTTTGGTGGCAGTGATATATAATAACTTTGTATAATAATACCATAAACTTAAATACTACCATAACATTACTACTTAAACTATTAAAAAAAAGTTTCTCTAAATTCAAAAATAAAATAAATTTTTAAAAAGAAAAGTTCCTGATTTCAAAGAAGACTTTTTAATTAATTTTGAAAAATAGCCTTTAATCGATAAGGTAAAGGCCCTCCCGTTGTTCGTCAATTTGCTCGAGCGGGCCCAGTAACGTCTCCTTTAATCATGGTTGACGACCACTGACACTGGACATTTGTATATATATTAGAATTAGTTAGCTTTCTATTTATCTAGAAAAAATGTAAGTAAAATTAAACTGATAAAAGAAAAAGAACAGTAAATTAATTTCCATTTGGTAACAACTACTGCTATTACTCTCACACCAGTTCAGTAGGGGAAAAAAAAACCAGAATTTTTATACTGAATGGAATGCATTTGAGAAATTTTCTTTAAATTTAGAATGTTTTTCAAAGTAGAAGGTATAAAAACAAATGGCCATCTAGGATGACAGGCTTTCTAGATTAAGTTATCAATCATTAAGATTTTTTGTTGGGGGGGAAAAATCAAAGATAAGGTATGAATCAAGAGCCCTGGAAAAGAGAAATGACTGAAAATTACAAAATAAAGTTTCAGGGTGAAAGAAAAATGACTCTGAAGGAATGATTTACGTCTCTCCCTGCAGCAATGAGAATATCTTCTTCTATGGCTTACCTGTAGTTTCTGAGTCAAAGAGTCCCTCTGTTCTTGTAATTCTCTGGCATTATCAATTTCTTGCTTTAATCTTTCTATTTCCTAGAAACGGTAAAATAATAACTTTAACAGCAACATTTACATGATAACAAGAAAGAGAAGACTTTATTTTTTCCTGAAATTATTTCCTTAGGGGAAAAATGGTTGTAAAATGTCCCTTTATGCTGACTCTCAGAGGGTGGAATTTGTCGTCAGAGGTGTGATGTCCAGTATAGGATACAAGGAAACAAATAAGCCTTCTTCCAGCCCTGCTCAGAAACAACTGAACATTTTTAGCCTACTTCAACCTGGGCGGACATAATTCTTCCCTAGGATATTAAATCCTTTAAGCAGAACCCTGAGAAAGCGACAGATTGCAAAAATTCATTTGACCTCTAATTGTTTTCTATTTACTTGATGAATTCAGCTCTGAGATGAATGGTAAATAGGCAGGATCTGAGTTTGATTGCCTTACCATAATGCATAACAATAGAAACAAGGATGGGAAAATATAAACACATTAACATGATTGGAGAAAAATTTCATCTGAGGAAAGTGTCACAAGGGGGGAGCGGAGTGATAGCACAGCAGAGAGGGTGTTTGCCTTGCACGTGGCCAATCCAGGTTTGATTCCTGGCACCTATACAGCACCCTGAGCACAGACAGGAGTGATTCCTGAGTGCAAAATCAGGACCAAGTCCTGAGCATTGTCAGATGTGACCCAAAACAAAATGTTTTTTTTTTTAAAAAAAAAAAAAGGAAAGAAAAGAAAAATCCCCAAAAGGGTAAGAGGAAGTGAACCGACAGAGAGAAGGGGACCAATGAGCTGTGGAAGAGGGATATTGGTATTTTGGCGGCAGCTGTGAGGTGGTAAGATACAGTTTAAGGAGTTGTGAAACTGTACCTCTAATATTTATGCAATCATGTAAACTAGCATCATCTCAATTTAAAAATATAAAAAGGAAAAGAAGAAAAGTCACCAACAAAACATGCCCTAACTTAAAAATAACTAGATAATAAATGAATATACACTTTTATTCTACAAAATACCTTTGACTGTGACAGAGATTCTAATATTTTCTGCAAGTAGGCCAACTGGATTATAAATTAACAGAATGTAGCAAATACCTCTTCCTTTTCTTTTAGAGTCTCTTCCAGTTCTTGTATTGTCTGATTTAATTCTGTCTTGTGGGTATGCACTGCATTTGCTTGGCTACTAACACATTCAAGTTCAGTCACCTAAAATTAAATGAGAACAGAAATCAAATTATATGACAATTTCAAGGGATTTCTTGCTATAGATATAACAAATTTCGAACAGGTGAATAATAAATTCTGAATATATACAAATTAACTTTCTAAATTAGTAAGATACATAAAGTAGAATAAAGATTCTATAAGAATATACATGTTTAAGACAAAGGAAAATGACCAACAGAAATAATTATTAACTTGACTCTGAAAAGTAAAAATAAAACCCTTAATCTTGGGGTCTGAAAAAACAGTCTATCAGGTATGGCTTTTTCCTTGCATGCAGCCAACCTGGGCTTGATCCCTGGTACTCCATTAGTCAAATGGAGTACCAGGGATCAAACCCTACCAGGAGAGATCCCTGAGCACAGAGCCAGGAATAAATAAGCCCTGAGCACTACTAGCTGTGGCTTAAAAACAAATAAACAAAAACCCCACTTAAACTGATTAATACTAGTAAAGAAAATTTACAGTAAGTCTTAAAAAATTCCTTCTGAAAATACATTTAAAATCAGATATAACCATCTGCCATCCATCTGTAGTTTTTAAATTAAATGTGTTCTAAAAACTAGCCTTGCAGAAAAGAAAAAAAATTTTAAATACATTTCCAAAATGTAAGAGCATCTGAAAAAAAAATGCTTAAAATTCAATTTAAATCATTCAACACTAGAATTATTTCAGATCAATAGTGTAATCTTTTGACAAAAAATTGTTTTCAGTTAATAAGAATTTGCTGAGGATCCAAAATGCAAAATAAACTTTAGTGAGCATTTAATATATATGTATGTATGTGTGCATATATATTATATATATAATATATATACACACACACATATACGTTGTCATGTTTTATTTTGTTTTGGCTACATCCAAAACTGAAAGACTAGCCCTGACCCTGGTGATACTCTCCAGGAGTAACATTCACAGAGATGCTCAGGGGACCATGTGTACCAAGAATCAAACCCAGGCCTCCGATGCAAACCATGCACTCATCTCATCCGGCTATCTCTCACCCTCATTTGATAGTTTTTGAGAGAACAGAGCACTGTCCCTTAAAGCTATACCATTCCAAAACACTAAAAATAGATGGACTCAGATGTGTGTGTGAGTGTGTGTGTGTCCCTGGTGGCCCCCAAGCACTGATGAACTGACCCTCACAAAAATAAATAAAACTCAGTGGCTTGACTTGGGCAAGATTATAATGTCTACTTTTATCTAATCTTCAAACTACTAGCATTCATCTATGATTGCATGACTCCCTATTCAAGAACTTTCATTTGCTCAGCTTATTTTTGGATTGTTTTTTGTTTTTGGGCCACATTTGGTGGTGCTCAGGGCTTCCTCCTGGCAGTGCTCAGGAGACCATTTGGGATGCTGGGGATCAAACCTGGGTCAGCTGCATGCAAGGCAAGTGCTCTACCCACTATGCTATGGCTCTGGCCCTGGCTCTGCATTTTTTGTAACACCAAATCTGAATCTCCAGTCCTCCATGCACAGGCTCCGACTTCCTTGACTATGTCCTCACTGCCAAACACACCCAGTGTATGCTTCAAACTCATCTCGCTGACTTAAACAGAATGTCCTTTCTCACTTCTGAGAAACCTACCCTACCAAACACTACCTCTCATCTTAGTACATACTCTCAGAATTCATTCCTACCTACACAAGACCTAATGGTTATCCTTAGGTTCTGCAAACAGAACATGTTTTCAAGTCTTAGGAATTGCTTCCTTCTTGTTTATAGTAACATGAAATATGTTATACTCCTTATCCCACCGGATAATGAACTTATGAAGAGTTTCAATTTTGATAATGAGGGAGCTGAAATTGTTTTTTTGGAAGGGGGGGATAATTTTCCTGCAGGTAACAACTTCATGAGACAAAATGTAGAAGTCAACTGAGGGCCACATGGGCAAAAAATATTGGAAGAAAGTAACCATTCTGGGTGAGAAACTCACGAGCCAGTAGGCTCTCTGCAGTCTGTCTGCACAGCTTATGGTCTTACCTCCCAGACAAGCCTGATTTGGGGCTGCTTTAGAAACTGAGGAATAATGACAGGCACACAGACTGCTCTTGAATATTTGGCTGAACCTTGAACTGAATGTGCACAGATAAGAACCTAAGGTGTTCAGGAGGATAGAAAAAAGCTGAAAGGCTGAAAGGGCTAAATCGCAGCAGTTCTTACCACAAAAGAGTCGGTCTGATGTCTATGTCCTGTTAAATTCCAGGGCTTTAGAAAATGCTGTAAGATTTTCATGGAAACCTCTGCTTCACAGACTAAGATTTCCTAAAACTAAGGGGTTTTCTCTAAGACGAAGGGCAAAATTGAAATGGACTCTAACAAGCTTCACTTTACACTTCTACAAATCCAAGATATTTTACAAGTCGTTTAACTATCATATCATTTACAATATCCAATGTATAAATGAAAAGACTATGTGGAAACAAATAAATAAAAAAACAGGAAAATACAACCTGTAACTGCAAAGACAAAATTGTGTCTTTATAAAAGCTGAGAGTATTTGTTGGCAGTACACTAGCAGTAAAAAAAATGTTAGAAGGAATTATTCAGGCTGACAGGAAATGGAACCTGATGAAAATTTAGATCTTCAGGAAGGGAAGATGAACACTTGAAATTATAAGGAGGTGAGAAAATATGATTCAATTCTTTAAATTCTATAAAATTCAGCTGTCTATTTAGAGCAAAAAATCTTTAAGGGAAGGGGATACATAATATAAGATTTCCCTCCTGACCTCCTTAATATTTATTGGTTTATGACATATGTTACTTATACATAACATAAAATTTTTTTATTAATTTCTTTAAATGACTGAGGCTCTGTGATTTATAATATTATTAATGATGGTTACTCATGTACATAATTCCAACATCATACCCATCACCAGTGTACCCATCTCCCTCCCCCAAGGATCCCAATACCCTTTCCTCAATCCTCCCACTCCACTATTTATCGTCCTTTAAAAAATTTATCATCCTTTAAAATAATTTATTTCGGCTGGGAGGGTGGCCACATTCCAGCAGTGCTCAGGAAACCATATGTAGTGCCAGGGATCAAACAGGGTTTTGATATACAAGGCCAGCCACCTTACCTGCTATACTATCTGGCCAGCCCAAAATTTATCACCTGCTTGACCATTTTAAAAGTACTGTTCAACACTGTTGTATTCACACTGTTGTGAAAGGTATTTCCAGAACTCTCATCTTGCAAAATGGAAATTCTGTACCCTCCCTCATAAATTGATTTTTCATAGCACAGACATTTCCTAGGGTTTCCTACTCTTCCTCCCTGTGTCTATTTCATTTCTATTTTATTTTGCTTGCTATTCTACTAATACTCCTTAAATTGAGTTCTAGTACTAAGCCTATTTCCTATCATCTACAGTATTCATTTCTTTGGTATCCTTTTGGAAAAAGAAAATCAGTGGTATTTGCTTTCAGTGGGGATGCTTTATTACTTAAATTAACTGTAGCCCTGTAGCACTGTCCTCCCATTGTTCATCAATTTGCTCGAGCGGGCACCAGTAACGCCTTCATTGTGAGACTTGTTGTTACTGTTTTTGGCATATCGAATACGTCACGGGTAGCTTGCCAGGCTCTGAATGCAGGCGGGATACTCTCAGTAGCTTGCCGGGCTGTCTCAGAGGGGCGGAGGAATCAAACCCGGGTTGGCTGCGTGCAATGCAAATGTCCTATCTGCTGTGCTATATCGCTCCAGCCCCATTACTTAAATTTAAAAAAAAAATTAAGCTACTTAATAGGCCGGCAATTTATGCAGTTGGTAAGGTGCTTATCTATATTCAGTGAGCTCAAGTTAGATCTAGGAACCCCAAATGGTCCCCCAAGTCCTGAAGGAAAGCCCCTGAGCACAAAACCAGGAGTAAGCCCTGAACACAGTCAAGTATGATACCCTCTCTCCAAACAAACTAAATTAAAAGCTATTTTATTTTTGTTTTGGGGGCCATACCCAGAGATGCTTAGGGACTACTGCTCTGTGCTAGCAGAGGGATGGTGTTTGTGGTGGGTGGTTTGCTCCAGTTCATGCAGAGAAACTATGAGATGCCAGAATCTAATCACGCAGGCCTTTCACTTGCAAAGCACGCACTCAACCCACTGAGCTATGTAGTCAGTTTCTAAAAACCTCACATAAGTAGTTGTTTGGACTTCTGATATTATTACTATCAGATACTGATATTAATTCAATAACATTTTCTTTTAATGCTGTAAACTTCGTTCTGTTTTCAGGCCACACCCAGCTGTGCTTAGAGCTTATTCCTGGCTCTGCACTCAGGGATCACTCCTGGTGGTGCATGGGGGACCATATGGGATGCCAGGCATCAAACCTGAATTGGCTGCTTGCAAGGCAAATGCCCAATCCACTGTGTTATCTCACCAGACACTACAATTTTAATATTACTTGTTGCTGTTTTTTTGGGGTTGGGGCAGGGCAGGGCACATCTGATTGTAATTGGGGGCTATTCTTTTTTTTTAATGTAGGAGTACTGCTATTTATTCAGCCACTGATTAGCTGATTGAATTGGGCATGAACTCTACCTTACTTTTTTTTTTTAATTTTATTTATTGAATCATCGTGAGAGCAGTTAAAAAACTTTCAGGTTTAAGTCTCGGTCATACAATGAAACACCCAACCCATACCTTCACCAGTGCCCATTCTCCACTGCCCCAGTATATCCCCATCTCACACTCTCCCCTTACCTGTGGGGCAGATGATTTCCACATTACTCTCTCTCTACTTTGATCACATTCAATAATTTGACACCAGACCCACCATTATTATTTGGGATTTTACCCCAACACTCAGATCTGCTGAAAAGGCAATAGTAGACAATTTGTTTTCTATTGCTGGTTAAGAATAACATATGATGTCGCATGGCTGCAGTAGTGACTGCGCGATTTTGAAATTCCAAAATTTTAACACTTAAATCTGGAGGGATTTCTGCCAAAATCTGCTGTGTTCTGAGATTTGTTCCTGAGTCTCTGGGATCATGGCCGTTAAGCAGCTTGATCAGGAGCTAGCAACTCAGGGTCTCATTAGGACGGGGAGGAAAGGGCCAGCTCCACCTCCATCCCATAAGGCCCAAACGTGTCTCGTCACTGAGGACCCAGACTGTCGTGTGGCCTCTGGAGGATGGCAGCCACCGAGCTGCCTAGAGAGAGCAGGTGGAGAGACAGTACCCTTTCATTGGGGGCTATTCTTGAGGATCAGTGCAATACTCACAATTAAATTCAAGCTACTGCATGCAAAGCATGCAGTACTGTCCTCTGAGCCCAGCCGATATCGTAAGTTTAATAAAGAACTACCTACGATATTTTCCAAATTTTTCTTCTTCACAATCAGGGCTGGGGAGACAGAACCAGGGTTTAGTGCAAGTCTTGCATGTGCCTGACCTGGTTTTGATCCTCGGCATTACAGGATCTCCCAGCATCACTGGATGGACCCTGGGGGCCACCATGTACTTCCTGCATTGCATTCTCAGGCCCTCACACTGACCCACCAGGCCCAGCTGGCAAAGTAGTGCCCAAAATGACACCCAAGATCCCAAGTACCACTTGGGAGGTCCCTGTCATCAACATACAAAAAATAGCAACTATATAAATAATAGAATCATCTGTCATTAAATCAATTCAACAACATGTGAAGTCAGTGTCTCAGCTAATTTTGGCAGATATTTATTATTATTCCTAATTTGTAGGTAAGCAGACTGAGCGAAAGAAGGCACTACATCACCGAAGTTGCACAGCTGACAAATGGCAGAAGAGAACTTTAAAATCATGTCTTTAGACTCCAGGAACTGTATGTATGTCATTCTCATAGAACGTATTTTTTTTCAAAGTGAAATAATTCCACACAGAGGACAAACTCTACTATGCTGATAATCAGAGAAAGTCTCTGGGAGAGACCCCTATGTGGAATCAACACGTAAATTTTCCCTGATCAAGGAAATCTGTTTCTCACAAATCCCCATGGTCAGCAGCCCTGGATTTACCCGCTTGTGCAGACGCTCTGCTTCCTCTTGATAGGCAGCCAGCTGCTGTTTCCATTGTTTCACATTGGCAGTGGACTCCAACAGCGCTGCAGTGAGTTTGGCATTATTTCCTTTGAGGGTAGCCAGTTCAGCTTCCCAATGTTTGCTGATTGCTGAACTGAAAGAAAAGAAAAGAAAATTTGATCCATTGTGCTGAACATTGTTTATTTGAAGGGACAGCAGTACTTAAGAGTATCTGTGTTCTAGTCCATGTTTCTAAGACAATGCTGAAATAATAAAAACACCAATACTTCAAGGAAATGTTCCTAGTAAAGCAAATCAGGAAGTGAAGAAAAAAGAACCAAAGTAGTAGTAAGCTTCGTGTGAAAATAAAGACTTTCTAACCATTCTCTTTTGAAGAATAAACACTATATCCTTAAAAAAAATAGCCATGAATAAAATTTAATAATGTACTAGGTATTTTCAAGAGCCTCAAAATTTGAAGCACAATTCATTCCTGTATAAAGCAAAGATATCAAATGCCAATAAAATTCAAGACATGAACAGTAGTATTCTTCTGAAATGATTGTTAGTTATCTGGAACTTGAATGTCCAAAAATTTTTAATCTGCTACAATAAGCTGATTTCTGTCTATTATACTCTGGCTAACACTAGGAAATGGTTCTGTATGATTTGCTTTCTGATAGAATTCCAGTGTCACATAAAGAACAAGAAAACAAAGCACTTTGCTTCCTCATTTAATGTTCTATTTGACAAGTTGCCCAGAATTAAGTATCTTAACCAAGATGATATTTCTATTACAAAGACAATTTCATTTGCTGGGAAAACCCTTTTCTTTTTCTTAACTTCATAATGAAGAAAAAAGTACCTTATTTTAAAAAATGTTTTTTAAGTGCCTCTTTTCCATTATTAAATATTTCATTCCTAACAATAAAATTTTAACCTTCTCTCATTAACTACCAAGTGATGATAATAACTTTTTTATTTTTATATTTTTGGCCACACCTGGTGGTTCTCAGAGCTTACACCTCACAGTGCACTCAGGAATCACTCATTATAGGGCTCACGGGACTATGTGGGGTGCTGGGAATTGAACCTGGGTCAGCCATACACAAGGCAAGCACCCTACTCACTGTACTATCACTCCAGCCCCCTGATAATAGCTTTTCAAAATTATGTTTTGGTTTTGCTTTTAATTCCATTTATAACACAAAGTAAATGCATTGATGGTTTGATGTTTTATCATAAATGTAATACATACTATGAAAAAGAAAAAAGTTTCACTACTATTATCAAGATTTCCATAGCTCATCCTTACTAACAGTAATAAAGTCAATACTCTAACCTCCTGATACAAATGCATGGTGACAGACACAAGCTCAATCTTACCAAAAGTATATGACTTCATTTCAAAATGTAAAACAAATCATGTTAATCAAGCTGAAGAGCATTCTATAAAATTGGCACTCTTTATATAGATAAAGACCAAATAACAGAATGGAGAAAATGAAAAAGAAGCAATTAAATGCCTTATGAAATTCTGGGTAGGTTCCTAAAACGGAAAAGGGACTGGTGAGAACTGAGGTCTTTAGTTGTAAACTGCACCCATGTTATGAATTTCCTCATTTTGCTAATTATGTCATGTTTGCTCAGGATGTTAGCATTAAGGGGAGCTGGTAACTCTACAGTTTTTGCAACTTTTCTACCAGTTTAGCCCTAGTTTAACATAATTTTTTAAAAATCTCTTAAGTTTACTGAGAAAACACCAAAACACGATCAGAAAAAAAAATCAAATGATAAGCTATCAGTTTAACAATCCATTTCTATTCTTGAAGCTAATATATTTTTTAAAATATTTTCCTCCAGAAGAGTATTTTTCTGATTCATATTTCCTAATCAAAGTATGCACTGAGTCACTTGTGTTAGCCTAATTATAGATTTAAAGAAACAAAAACAAAAAACATCTGACTTTTCCTCCTAAGGCGATGAGTTGTATTTATGTGTTGTGGTACTGGGGGTCACACGCTTGTGAAGCCAAGAATCAGGTAATGTGGTGTGGGGTGTTGTTAGGGACCAAATCTAGGACCTCACTCACACAAGACATGAACTGGACCACTGACCTATACCCCCTGTGTCTGAGAAAAACTGTACTTAAATGGGCCCTTCAATAAGACAACGAAAATCTAACTGGATTAGTTAAATACTTGCTAATTGCAGTATTAAACCCACGTAAAAAGTAGGTAAGACAAAAAATGATTTTGAACGTTTCTAAAATTCTCTTGTCAAAGATTATCTACTTATAAAGTAAGATAACATCTTTCTACTAGGTTAAAAGGCGAGTGTTTGATATTCTATTTCTCTAGGCTATTTTATAGTCTGTAAGTAGCTAAGTCCATGAAAAATTCAAGAATTCATCATACATCCCAATGATTTCAATAATGATTGTGTGATCTTTGACTAGACTCTCACTTGGATGCTCAGTTCCTTGTATGTCAAATAAATTCATTTTAAAAAAATATTTTTTAATATTTGTTTAATTTTTTTTCTTTTTGGGTCACCCTAGCAATGCTCAGGGGTTGTTCCCAGCTCTGCACTCAGGAATTTCTCCTAGCGGTGCTTGGGGGACCAAATGGGATGCTGGGAACTGAACCCAGATCAGCCACTTGCAAGGCAAATGCCCTACCCGCTGTGCTATCACTGCAGCCCCAATATTTGTTTAAATATTGCAGACAAGCTCTGCACTGTCCAAATGTGAGCCACCAATTGGCTGTAGTCATTTAAACTGCTCCAAAAAAAATGATAATAATAGTTAAAAATCCAGTTTCTCAGTTCCAAGAGTCCATTTCATGTATTCAGCAGTCACAGAGGATTTTGGCTACCATAACCCATAGTTTTGGAAATCAAACCTGTCGTTCACACATTCAGTGCAGGTGCTTGTCTACTGAACTACAACCCCGGGCAGAGAAGGGCTCTTTTAAGGAAAGAATTAAGAGGGAACAGAGTCAGGATGGGGCTCTAATCCATTCTGACTGGACTCCTTCTGGATTAGGATGCAGAGACCCATAAAGGCCCATCAAGTAAACATACCTGAAGACAGCATCTGCAAGTCGAGGAAATGTGTTAGAAAAAACAATCCCTCAGGGTTGGAGCAATAATACAGCGGGTGGGACATTTGCTGGGTTCCATCCTCAGCGTCCCATATGGTCCCGTGAGCACTGCCAGGAGTAATTCCTAGGCACAGTGCCAGGAGTAACCTCTGAGCATCACCGGGTATAGCCCAAAAATGGGGGGAAAGGAGGAAAAAAAAACACTCCCTTTATAGTACTTCCTGAGAAATCTAGCTCAGACAACAGCAACAAAACAAATTCCTGTTTTAGCTGCCCAGTCTGTGACATTTATTAGTGCTGCCCTACAGAGCAAACTAATATAACTGTCTCCCTTTTTAAAAAAAATTTTTTTTTTTTTTTGCTTTTTGGGTCACAACCAGCCAATGCTCAGGGGTTACTCCTGGCTCTACACTCAGGAATCACTCCTGGCGGTGCTCGGGGGACCATATGGGATGCTGGGAATCGAACCCAGGTTGGCCACGTGCAAGGCAAACGCCCTACCCGCTGTGCTATTGCTCCAGCCCCTTTAAAATTTTTTAACATAGTGTATGATATAGAGCTGGATCAACAGCACAGCAGGTAGGGCGTTTGCCTTGAAAGCAACTGACCTGGGTTTGATTCCTCCGTTCCTCTCGGAGAGCCCGGCAAGCTACCAAGAGTATCCCACCTGCACTGCAGGGCCTGGCAAGCTACCATGATGTATTCAATATGCCACAAACAGTAACAACAAGTCTCACAATGAAGACTTTACTGGTGCCCGCTCGAGCAAATCGATGAACAATGGGCGGACAGTGCTGCAGTGCTACAGTGTAAGAAAGGGGCCTCAAGACGGTGATAGAATTGAGGGAGCTTTGCAGCCTTAGGTACAACTAGGGGTGTTTTCAGTGTGCTTAAAGAAAGCAGATTTCAGGGTGGATGCTGAGTAATTATTTTCCAAAAAGGGTGGTAGGCTAAATAACTTGAAAAACCTCTAAACTATGTGTTTGTGATTCATAAATAAGTCGAATTCAGGTGATTCATAAATAAGTCAAACTCAGGTCCTGGCTCACATCTGCCCCAAACCTTGGAATTTCCTAATAAAAGTAATGGGCACATCTTCTGATATAATACTTTTGGGAAAGTATTTTCGTTTTGAAGGGTCACAGTTGGCAGTACTCAAGTCTCCTCCTGTTGTAGTGCTCGAGGGCGCATCCCAGCAGTGCTCAGGGACCATGCAGTGCTGTGGAATTGAACCAAGGTCTCCCTCATACAGAGATGCATTCTAGCCCTTTGCACTCCTGGTCTTTTTTGCCTTCAGTTCCTGAAATTGGTTCAGAGCCACAAAGATTAAATTATTTATCATCTTATTCATAACAAGCTCCTTTCAACCAAAAGTGAATTTGCATTAATGAGAAGATGTCTGGAAAATCCTGAATGATCGGAAAGCTGGCAATCAGAAAAACCAACCATGAGAAAGAGGTTAGCACTTTCAGTCCCACAGCTGAAAGGGGCTGCAGTTACTTAACACTATCACCAATAATCAACAACTTCAGTCAACCATGTCTACATAGTGAGTTTCTACTATAAAACAGAAAAGGACAGGGGCTGGAGAGAGTACAGTAGGCAAGGCGCTCGCCTTATACACAGTTGATCCTGCTTTAATTCTTGGACCCATCTGCACATACCTCAAGCGCACCAGGAGTAAGTCCTGAGCACAGCATTTATGGCCCCAAAACTAACTAAAAAGACATGGTTCCACGCTCTCACATGGGACACACACACACGTCACATTGCAAGGGCCCCAGTTCCACAGGGCAGGAGCATGAGGGATTGATTCCTGAAGGTGGGGGCCTCCACTGCAGTAAAACCATAAAGTTCGGACAGAACTTTTCTCTACAAAAAAAAATAATAATAATAAGTCACTGGGAGAAGGGAGGTCAATGCCACACCCCCCAATCCTGTCACTCCTACCCCTACTCCTCTAAGCACAGATGGAAATTCATTTTAGCTAGGGGACAAATAGGAAAATAAAACTCTGTAATAACAGAGAAGAACAATCACTCTCATCTCA